CCCATATTCTGGAAATCATGAACCAATAAAAGACATTTGATGTTACTTACGAATCATTGCTGAACTATGAGAACGATGTGAGGATGTTTTGGATGAAGATTACGCTATGACGTATGAATTAAACAACATCCAAATCTTCCACTATAACTATCGCGAACTTGAAACTGCAAATGCTACTAAAGGACTTTCAATCAAAGAAAGAATGTTGTTGACTAGTGACGAACAATCAAGACTTGTGAATGAACGAAGTATGTCAAATATGCTACAAAATACGATGTTATACCCTGCAAAGGAACCCAAGTTATGGATGTTGAATTTGAACAGGAACCCGCAAAAAGGATTATTAGATACCTTGCTTAATCTAAGATTGTTAACCTCTTGGAGAAAGAACGAGTTTGATAACATCGACAGTTTGAGAATACGTATCCGTTTGGACAATGAGGTAATCATGGTTTAACCAAATGAACATGACACGGTCATGATAAAGGTGAGATCACTACGAAATATTAAACGTTGACCATTAGAAGAATTTCGAGGACGAAATTCCTTTAAGGGGGGAGAAATGTAACGCCCCGAAACATACCCTAGAATTATTATTAAATAATTATTCGATTAAACAAATTTGTTTTGATTATTATTGGGCTTTGGGCCGATATGAAATATTTTTTAATATCCAATATCAAAATCTGGATAAGTCTAATCGAGATAAATCCAATATGTGGACTATTTGTGTGGTCTTGATTGAGAACCTGAGTACAGACCCAAATCAAGAATAAATAAATTAATTAATTATGATGTGAACTTTGTAATGATTTATTGAAATAAATCATGAGAATAATTGATATGAATTAAATGAGAGAACCTTTTATGAGAAAGGTCAATTAAACCAATTTTGACTCTGTTAAAGTCAAACACCCAAAAATATGATGTCGGAAAAAGTATTACAAATAATTATGAAAAGTATATCGTTGGATAGAGCTCGACTGTCTGATCGCAACGGTGCAAACGGATTTCAATT